TTCCTTCCTCATTTTACCAGTGATAAAATGGAGGCCTCCCAAAAAGACAGTGTCTTGGCCACATTCACACGTTTAATGGTTGGCAGAGTTTTGGCAAGAAAAAGTCAGTTTTCTTGATTCTCTTGATTCGCTTCTTCATATTCTTTATACTCTCCAACTCCTTTGCATCTGCAAAGAAAATCTCAGAAGTAAACATCCGGAACTAGTGGCTTAAGAATCAAATATCTCCTCTGTTTGCAACCTTCACTCCATTATATGGCAGTTGGTGTGCCAGGAATTCTTGTAGTCAGAGCCAGGCCAGCTTGGGTTTCCCTGCTGACTCTTCCAGGTGGAATGGTTAGCTAACAAGTCACACTCGTGTTAGGCAGGTAAAGGCCCACATCGGTGGATCAAGGACTTGCAGTTATTCGATTAAATAATTGTTTTCCTTTGTACAGGACCAAATCTCAGGCTACAGCCCAGCCCTACTTGTCAGGTCCTTGCTTTGCAATGACCCTCATCATTGCAATGAGCCCAGCCCGTTGTAAGTTCTACGACAGGCATTCATGAGCAGAGAGAGTCTGACACAAACCCTTCATGTGTCCCTATTACACAGGTGGAGTATGAAAGGTCCTGGCCAGGAAGTTTCTTTCTCTGCTAAGATGCCCTTGGGGTAGAGGGAATGGAGGAGTAGAAATTGGTTGATCACGAAATGGTAAATAGAGTGTATACCAGTCCTTCTTAAGAGTTTTCACCTCTAACAGGGTGCTAGGCTTGCTTAGTCCTAAGGAATAAGCTGTCTGCAAATGTGGAATTCTAGAGCTACCTACTTGTACTAAAAGATAAAAATTAATCTACCTTTCATGGTAGCACAGGATAATTAAGAGTTTGTGAACAGAAGATGCCTTTAAAGATAATATGGGCCACTGTGTTTTCAAAGCTATGTAAGTTTTCTTTGACCCAGCCCAAATCTTACTGGCTTAAAACCACAACCATTTATTTTGCTTATTATGCTGTGGGTCGTCTGGGTAGATCAGATCTGGGAAAGCTTGAGTGACATTGCTGGGCTCTTGAGTGCCTGTGCCTATGGTCAGCTGACCGGTTTATTTGAGATAACTTCACTCATATGTTTGGTGATTGGGCCAAGTACCTCATCCTCTAGCAGACAAGCTCAGGTTCCTTTACTTGGTGGTCTCAAGGAGCAAAGTGCAGCAAGAAAGAGCCAGCCCCAAAGTTCAAACACATTTCAAGTCTCTGCTTGCATCATACTTTCTATTGTTCTTTAGCCAGAGAAAGTCACTCAGCCTATTCAAGTCAGAGGCAGTTCTGAGAGACTATTAACCCTGCCCAGAAGTCTTCCCTACTTCTTTGTTCTGGGGCACCTGATGGCATGGGTTCTACGTGCTGTTAGCAAAGCAGTTAAAACTCCTGATTGTAAGACGGTACAGCAGCCATTCTGGGATGGAGGCAGGAACAGAGAGTCATACTTTACTTAGGTCTTTGATCCTTAAAAATTGAACCCATTGTACCCCTGCAAACCCATACCCTGAACAAGAATAGAAATATTAGAACACATGGGAAAATCAAAAGCTTAAGCTGATTTTTTTATGTAATAGGAAGGAACCCCACAATGAAGAAAGTCACTTAGGATGTTCATGTAACTGCAGTGTAAAAGTTATATTGCTTTTTCTAGATCTGTGGCCTCTATATCTCCTGTTGACCTGTTTTTCAGACATACATGTGATAGAGAACTTTTTAATACCACTGAAATAGCTTATAATATTTTTCTACAATATTGCTTATGTGTTTTTTATCTTATTTTTTGCCCAGGTGACCAATAAAAAGTTCTCTGAAAGTTCTAAGGTAATTCTAAGGAATAGAAAACTGGGTGCCTATTTTCTTTTCTTGTGTTTACTATTGCATCTTAAGTGGAATGCAACCTGCTAGAAACAACTGACATTATCCCCTTTAAAAAATATCTACAATTCACTCCTTATGTTAGGTGTACATATTACATATAACGTAGGTGAGGAGGGAAGCTTTGCTCATTTCTACTCTAAGATGCAATGCATATGTTTTACCAGTTTGGTTTATATTCAGTATAATGCTGGTCATGTTAATTGGAAATGCCGTGGCTAATTTGCTTTGATCTGATATGCAGTGTAGCAGTAGCTGACAAGTTGCAAGAATATAGATAGTTTGTTGAAATGAGGGAACAATCTCATTACTTGAGCACTGGAAACTGAAATCATTGCAAACAAGAAATATGGTATAGCATTCATGTTGGCTTTGTCCCAACCTCACATACCCTTGGGAGCTAAACTCCTGAACCTCATCAAGGGGCGGGGGGAATGGATTCAAGCAGCCTGCATCCTCAGCCCATTTTACCAAAAGAAAAACCAGAGGAAGAATTTTCCCTCTCTTTCCATATAATTCTAATGAAGTCAGTGGAGGACTCTTCTGCAGGATGTCTTCAAAGGTTCAAGGCAAACCTCCCACTTCTCTACCCTAAAGACAGTCCTTGTTCTCAACTCACTCCCCAGTGTGAAGGTAAAGCCAAATTCTATGAATTAGGTAGTAGGGTTTACACAATTGTGGCTGAATGTTGTACCAAAGTATATCGTTTTGTACAGAGCAGGAATTCAGCACTCTGGAAAGACTTCAGCAGTGCCATATGTCTTTTTAATACTCACAAGTGAACAAAATATATCCACATGTAAATAGATGTAATCGTATTTGCAACCCATATTTGTCATTCCCAGAAAGATGATTATGTAAGCATAATCCTAAGGCTACAAGTTAAATATATGCATATACACATCACATACCACAATGCTTGTAATGGACATTCTGGGTTCCCCACCCCAGTTTTCTTTAACAGGTTACTCTGCCCATTCCCCAGCTGCTGTGGGTGTTTTGCAGTTGCCCTCTTATTTGGATAATTGCCCTTGGCCAAACCAGAGCCACCTTACCTGAAAGGTTACACTTTCCCGCTCCTGCTGGGGGATATGGGGGCTATCCAATAATTAACTGACGGTGAATTTAATAAATACATAGAAACCATTTTCCGACCTTAAGGTAAGATCAGCTGTAGAGCTCCTCATGAGATGAGGCTGAAATTCAACTCCAGCTAAGCCTATGCACTTGCTCAGCAGCTTTCCTGACCCATGGTGCTTCCTCACTCTCTCTCCTGAGAGGACTTCATTAAATCTTGTGCACTAAATTCTTGTCTCAAGCTCTGCATCCAGGGAACCCATCATAAGACCACACTTCATTACAGAACCTAAAACATTTCAGCAGCTAATGCCCTGAAGTGGATGCTTTTTTTGGTCTGTACTCTACCTTGTAGCTTTCGAAGTCACTTACCACCAAGCATTTTCACTTTGAAAGCATTTGCTATTGCCATACACTTGATGAGACTTCCTCTTCTTTCTCCACCTCAGCCTCTGTCACTCACATCATGTATGCAGCAAAGCTTCACCTGGTTCCTGTTGCTTGAGCTGCCTGACTCCTCTAGCAAACCAAAGCCCATGTGCCCTTTTTTGCAACAATGTATGGATTAAATTACCTACCCAGTCATTAAAAAAAAAAAAGTCTTTTAAAATGATGCTTTGGAGACAGTAATCTCTCTTGAATTTGAAACCCCACAAACAACTGTCACAGGACTGGCTGTCCCTGGAAAATGTCCCCATAACAAGACTATTTTGTGAAACCAATGAAGCTGACCCAGTCTTTGATAAGCTATCTCTGAAGGGCATAATATATCACATATTACCTTATCATCTTTCCCTGTATGCTTTCAGAGTGCATTTGATATTTTTTTCTTCTCCTTCACACAATTTATGTCCTGTCTTTGTCTAGAGGTATGCACCTCTTCACACTGGGGATGGAAAAACTTTAAATAAAATAAATTGAAAACCTGAGTAACCATGCTCCATTCTACACAGCTGCAGCTAAACGTCTACCAAGGAGGTCTGTTTCTCAGAATACAAAACATGCATCCAATCGCCATAGCTCAGTCTCGCGCTAACATCTTCCTCTCCTTTTATCAGATGTAGAAATAAACAACTTAGACATTATGGGTGTTAGTTTATTTTTGAGCAGTGATCAAACTTAGAGCAAATGTTTGCTGAACATGGACTGTCTAATTGCTTTGTATCTATTATCTAATGCAGGCTATCTACCCAAGGTTCCCCTACACATTACCACTCAGTAAACAGCTGCCCCTTGGCCACTCCTCAGGCTTAAAAGTGTGTATGCCAGCAGTGAAATTTATCCTCAGGAGGACAAACTGGGAGAGGAGTCCCCTACAGGCCCTAAGAAGGACTAAGGGCAGTTTTAGCAGTGGCTTCTGGTTAAGGTTACTCCAAGCATGTTCTAAAAAGGAGAGTGTGGGTTTTAGTTCCCTAGCCTTGTGGACTTGTTGCCCCATGGGGAGCAGGATGAATGGGGAGACATGCAAATCTAATAGGCATGGCCTGTTAGAGCACATGGCACAGTGCAGAGGCCCCAGTGGCCTAACTCTGATTATGGAACTTGCACCATAGCCAGGAAATGATTGAGGCAGGGCTTGGCTCCAAATCGTTGACACCATCATTCTGCTAAAGCATCATTTCCTGTGGTTTATACCTTGCTTGAGTACAATAATGAATTACTGTTTTTCATGCTTTAGATTAGAATATCTGTGTTCCTTGGAGGATTACATGGGCAAATAAAGCTGGCCTTTCAAAAATTCTAAAGGGTAGCTGATCAATAGGCATTCTTAGTAGAATTCTTTCATGCTTAGAATGCTTCTCCCAAGAGTTCAAGGCCCAGGCAAATGATTAACAAGTGTATACATGCCTGCCCACCTGTAGACAAAGAACAGAGAAGTACAGGAAGCAGAGACTCAAGGCCTTTTCCTTCAGGTAAATTAAGAGGGTAGAAACAGCTATTGAAAGCTGGCACCTAGAATGTTATGTACTTGGAGCATATTAGGTGTTCAATGAATATTTCACAAAGAAATAAAATGATGCAGCATGAATTCGTGAGTAGAATTTTAGTATTTTACTCTTTTGTGGAGGAGAATTTGTCTCTTCTTTATAAGATAAACTTGAGTTACCTTGTCAATGGAACCAATGCCAACTTGGTTACTCTCTGTCCAATGGAACAAATATCTAACATCTGTCTTAAAAGAGATTTGGGTTTGGGGCAAAGCCCGACGATTCTCTGGAACTTTCAGATGCAGAATCTTTTACCTTATGACTTCTTCAGCTATTTTTAAACTAGCTGCCATTGTTAATATGTGAGATGCTACTAAAGTTCCCTTCACCCTCTCCATCACAACCCACCTATTAGCAACTCAAATTCAGAGATCTGAAGACACACTTTCCTCTCTAAAATGCCAAATGTGAAATATGATGAGTGAAAAGATGATTATAGGTTCTTAATTTCTATGAATAACTGACGTTCAAAGTGTGTGTGTGTGTGTGTGTGTGTGTGTGTGAGAGAGGGAGAGTTATGTAAATACACGAAAATAAGGAGTATTTTGATATCATTGATTTATCTTTAAAACTCGTAGAAAAACAAGGTTGGGAGAGTGGGATTCATACCCCTAACTATTAACCTAAAATGTGACATGTATTAGTCTGATTATTTATACCCAGATAATTATATGCTATATATGGTTATAAATATTATAAGTGAATAAGATGATAACAGAAGCAAATTTATTCCCAGATACTTAGATGAGAAAATCTCACTGACATAAAAAGAAACAAAAAGAACTCAACATTTTGAAAATTTGTACATTATTTCTATATATCAGATGCAGAATACTCACAATTAATTCCACTGAAATCACAATATAGAAATTGGAAGAAAATGGAGAACACAAATAATTCATTAAAAAATGACAAAAAATGACTGAAGTAAGTAAGTATTTTCAAATATCCAAAAAACTAAAACAAAACAAATGGACTTGAATTTGATCTGTATGTTCTAAAACTGTGATTCTTAACTCTTCTTGTCTTTGTATATTCAATGAATGAAAAACACTATAAAAATAAACATAGGAATCCACACACCAACAATTGCATTGAGAGACTTCACTGATTACCAAGAAGATCATCGTTGGGGCTTTAAGTTACTTTACATTACTAATCCTAATTTACATTGAACAACTCTACGTTAGAGATTGTGGGACACAATTCCAAGGGAATAACTTTCAGAGACTTTGTGAGGCCTTGGGTATAGGCTAGACCTCAGTCCTTCTTAAAAACTCTCCCTCGTTTATGCCACTCTTTTTCTCCTGTCTTCACCTATCATGTCCCCCATTGCAAAGGGCTGTGTCACAGATGTTATCCATGCTCTCTCCAGATTCCATCCACACTCACCATTTCCATGACTGGTACTAGAGCCAGCCAGCTTCCGAGATTCTTTGCCTGGAGACTCTTCATCTCTGGCTGCTGGGTCCCACTCTGCCCATTTACATTGTAATGTGGAAACACAAAACAATTGATGTCTAATACCAAAAGGAGCACCTTCTCCCCAATGGGTGTAATGGTTTAACACCCCAGCTCTTGCCTCATGGGCAGAATAACTCTGAGATACAGGTTCTACCCTGCCTCACAGAATCACCCACAGAGATGAAGCTCCAATTTTCTGCAGTTACTTGCATCATGACACATAATCATGAGCTTTATTCTTACTTTGGCAATCAAGTTGTGATCTCCGGCCTTTACAAATGAAGGTAGCCCTAAGGCCAGTTCTGGTTACAACCTATTAATCAACACATACTTCAAAATAGACCATTCCATCAACATGGAGTCAGCCAGGACCCCCTCATTTGTGTCACTCAGAGGCCAGAACATCTAGATTCTGGCAAGCTATGAGACAGTTGTCCCTACACTCCAAAGGTCCCTCTGATGATACCCCCTGCAGAAACAAGCCCTTTAAGAAAGGCCAACTAAATTTTCCTTTAAGAACATTGCCCAACCAAACAAAAGTTTGCAAAGACTATTAATACCTAAGTCCCAGATGAGCCAGTTTGGGGTCATCTGTGTTTATTCTGAGAAAGTGTGAATGGCCTCACCTATCCCAAACAGAGCAAACTATTGTGCCCCTGGGCAAAAGCCAACATCCTTTTCATGAATAAGAGCCACGACTTATCAATACTTGGCACAACTGGACTAATCTTCCTGTGTTCTAGAACGCGTCCTGTGAAGATGATCAGAATGTTTTATGTTCTAATTTTCTTTGCCTTCATACCCCAAAACTTTCTACTAAGTAGTTCTAAATTCAGATGATTCTCCCCATGTCTCCCTCCCTGAGAATTAAATTCACAGTAGTCCTACCTGTGAAGACTTTAGAGATTTATCTGACTTATCTTATCCCAAGATTATTGGTGCAGAAATATCTAATTTGTGTCCAGTACAAAGTGAAGCCTCTTATCTTCCCTAGTATGTTGAAGCACAATGTTGATTTTGAGAAGGTTATTTGAGAGTCAAAATGAAAGTATAACAGTGCTGAATGCAGGGCACAATAAAAGTAGAAGAAGGAGGAGGAGGAGAATGAAGAGAAGAAGAAGAAGAGGAAGGGAAGGAGGAAGGAAGGAAGGAGGGAAGGAAGGAAGGAGGGAAAGAGAAGGAAAAACAAAAGAAAAAAAAGGAAGAAAGAGGAAAAAGAGAAGAAAGAAAAAAGAAAGAGAAGGAAGGAAGGAAGGAAGGGGAAAGAGAAAGAGAAAGAGAGGTGGAGGAGAGGGGAGGGAAGAAGCATTTAATTGAACCCTGGGTCGGGGACTGGGATAAGGTGGGGCAGGGAATCAGGAAATACGCATGCATTTGAGGAATGTTCAAAGATTTCCCTGCCCCAGAAATGTTCAACTTACAACCCAGCAAAAGATGCCTGGAAGACCCACTTTTATCACTTCCCTGATTGATTTGTTTAAAAACAAAAAAAAAAAAGGAAGAAAAAGAAAAAGCTCTGTTGGAGAGTTAACAAAGTTGGTGGTTGGTAAGAGCTTGTGTCCCAGTCTGTGTGGATGGCCTGGTATCATAATTAATAATGACTCTTTTCACTCTCAAAAATATCCCAGCTCAGACAATGGACTATATGGTCACTCCAGGTATAGGTCACTCCAGGTATAATTCACTGTAGGGATGACACTGCTCTTTTCTAGCTATGAAGATTATATAAAACATCTTCTCTCTGGGCTTTAGCTTCTTACCTGTTAAATAGAAATGATGGTAGCAGCTATCTCTCGGGGTTTCTGTGAAGATAAAGAGTGATCATAAATTAAAATGCTTTGCTGTGATAAATTTATCACAGATTAAGCATGTGATAAATTGTAGCAATTATTACTTAAAAACAATGTCATCTGGGTGGAAATTTGTCATGTGGGGTTGAACTTTGGTCACCACAAATCATTCTACCCATCTCAGAACATTTTAGGTAAAAACCAATGACCACCCAAAGTGACTCCATCACAATCTCCCACAGTCCACCATGGGAACAACCCAGTGATTAGCAAAGTATGTGCTGTTGTGCCCCTCAAAGCCTGGGCCACTGGGAACTCAAGAAAGAGGGGGAAAACCTGCCTTGGATCCTGTGGTGCAGAATACAGGGCAATGATAGCCCTCCACACAGGTTCAGATTTTTTAAGGAATCAAAGCTGGGGTAACTGGGATTTTTTGTTTTTCTTCCAACCCATCTCTTGCAGCTGTGAGGAATCCAGCTGAGCCTGACCAAGGGTCCTCCCTGAACTGGGGCATGCACCACATTATAGGGGGTTCTAGTCTTGTCCCCAACACTTCCTTCACTTTCTGAAGGATTTCCCCAGCTCCACATTTTGCAAGTAAAACCCCCCATTTCTCTCCAGTGGTGAAGGACAAAGCCCAAATGTGATTTCAATTATGGCAATAACAAATTCATGAGGGCCCAGCCCTTGCCATCTGTCGGAGAAGTGTGTCAGGCCCTTCACTGACCATGAGGAATACCATTTCACCGACCACCTAAACAAATGAGAGTACACCCATGGGTTTTCTGCAAAGAGAGAAGATGGAAAGAAGAATGGAGCTGTCTGAACCCCTAGTACTTTGGCAGCGATAAAAGTTATCACTTTGCATTTGCATAATTCAGTGAGATTCCTCATTTAAAAGCTGATAAAGACAGCTGGAAAGAGTGTTGATTAGAAACTAGATGACAGATTTTTAAATTTTAAAGAATCTATCAGTAAGTTCCGAAAAGGTAACAATCTCTTCATATTGTGGGTACCTTGGTATTAGCTGGTGATCATGTGTTTTGTGTGTATATACACATAAACAGAAGAGCTAACACGCATTAAAGACATCCTGTAGCCAGGAATTATGCCAACCACTTTGTTATATGTCATTCTCACAGCCACTTTATGAATTATACCTATTTTATATGTGAGGACTTGAGGCTCAGAATGAGGAAATAATTTGATGGATGTCATATACCTAGGAAGTTTCCATCATACATTTTAAAACCTGTACCTGATTCATCTGACTCCAGAATCTGTGGTCTGACCACTACCCTACCATGGCCTCTTACACAAAAACATGCACCATGACTCTCCATTTTCTGTCCTGATGAGAATTGGCTTGTGAGAAATCACCCCAAGAAGAGGTAATGGGCAAGGGAAGAAGCTGGGCACAGAGAGTGAAGCCAGCAGAGTACAGACTTGAAGAAAAGCTGGGACAAACCAGAGTCAAATAAACAGAAAATTCCCTGAAGAGTCAACCCACTAGACCAGCCCAAAAGTTAAGCTGTGGGGCAGAAATAAAGAAACTAACCCCATGAAAAATTATAAATATTCATAATAATAGCTAACACTTATTAAGTGCTTCATGTGTACCAGAAATTATTCTAAGCACTTTTGCATAAAATTGCTCATTTATTTCTCAACATTGTTTCTTATGCCCAGTTTACAGAGGAGGAAATTGAGACATAGAGATGTTAAGTGACAGCTCCACACAAATTATAGGTAAAGAAGTTGGTATTTGAACCCAAGAAGTCTATTTTAGGAACACAAATTCATCACCCTTCTCACAGTTATGCTCTATGTTCTCATTTTACAGGGGGTTATATATTTTTGTTGTTTGAAATTTTGATTAAAACCCAAAAGAAAAACATCTTAGAATGCAGTCTATGAACTCTCTGGATGAAAAAATCATTGTCTTTATCTTTAGGATACAAAGCACTATATACAACTTTGGGTAAGAACAAGCTGTATAGCCCACAGTGGCCAAGTCCTTGTATCTGAGATTACGGAAGCTATATTGACTACTGCCAATACCCATGGCAATTGATCATATTCCCAGTCTACTTTCTAGTTGACATCTGGAGTGCAAGTGCAATGAAGAGACGTGCGGTGTCTCATGGTTACACAGCAATGTAACTCTTCTGAAAAACTGGGAACATTATCCAAAGCATAATAACCCTCATAAATAATCTACCAGCTTGAGGACATTAAATGTAAAGAAAGGGTAACCTCTGACCTTCCATTCCCTTTAATGGGGCTTCATTAGTCTCACAAATGGAGGCAAATTCATAACGGGGGGAATCAATTCTGCCACTTGGAAATAATTAAGACACATACATCAAACAACAGCTTTTTTTTATTCTTTCTAATTAAGTGATCCATCCCAGAGGAGTGCTAAACTGGTCAGCACAAATATAAATTACACTGAGTATGAGTGTTTTAAGATCAATGTGGAGGTCTTAATGCTTCCTCCGTGCTCGTCCTATACTTCCCAGACATTAAACCACTGTCTGACTATGGCTTCAAGAAACTAGAAACCTGGATTCTGTTGTCAACAAGGCACTCAGAATCCCCCACAAGTTGCCAATCTATCTAACCTGCCCTTTTGAAGAAGGAATAAAATTCTTAATTCTCTATCTACAGCTCCCCGCTTCCCTTGGACTTTAAAATATCAGCAGATGTAATATCTGGCTTGGGCATCAGTGGCTGAAATTTTGAAGGATGTGCCTTATACATTTGACCCTTCCTAAGATATCAGCCTTGATATGAAGTGTTTATCAACAAGCCCATAGATGGTTTTTTGCCATTATCTAAGACCTAGTTATCAGTAGAATGGGACCTCTGGCTGCTATGCGACTAAACCTGGCTCTCCTTAAACCTTTGTCTAACTGCAAAATCAACTCAGGAGTTGCATGCAATATTGATTGATCAAACTCACCATGTACCACATTTCCCCAGGAAACCAAATGGGCTGAAAAACAAACTAAATCTATACAAGATTTTTATGCAGCTTTGCTTATGGGATACAAAAATTAATATTATTTTACTTGGATATAACTTGAAGATTCTTGTAATCAATAAATGACATACACCTTCAAAATTCTTCAGGAAGGCATATAACAGCATTTTGGATCCACAGACAGAAACCAGAAAAAAAGAAGACTGGACTTAGAGACAAGATACTCAATTCAAACCCTGGCTCTGTCACTTTTTAATCATGTGTCTTTATGTTCACAAAGGGAGGAACTTACACCACTCCTTTGCATCTATCTCAGTGCTTAGGACAGAACTGTCATATAAGTATATCCACATACTCTCAATGAGAGTACATAGTACCTGGCTTGGGGCTCTGTGGCTTAAATTTTGTCTTATACCTTATACCATACTCATTGAGAGTATGCGGATATACTTTCATTTATTTATTCTTTTTTGAGACGGAGTTTCACTCTTATTACCCAGGCTGGAGTGCAATGGCGCGATCTCAGCTCACCGCAGCCTCTGCCTCCTGGGTTCAGGCAATTCTCCTGCCTCAGCCTCCTGAGTAGCTGGGATTACAGGCACATGCCACCATGCCCAGCTGACTTTTTGTATTTTTAGTAGAGACGGGGTTTCACCATGTTGACCAGGATGGTCTCGATCCTTGACCTCATGATCGACCCACCTCGGCCTCCCAAAGTGCTGGGATTACAGGCGTGAGCCACCACGCCCGGCGCGGTGGGAGAAATAAGTATTTTTCCCAACAATACTTATATGGGAGAAATGAGTCAATGAAAGTCTTGCTCTGTAGAAATCACACTTTTGAACCAGCTTTGAAGACTAATGTCTCAGATTTAGTTCTTCAGGGAATATTTGAGGAGAAGATATAAGTGATCTATTAAGAAAGTTCCCCAAGCATTGGGTACTCATGGACATAAAGATGGGAACAATATACACTAAGGACTAATATATTAGGGAGGGAGGGAAGAAGGAAGGTAAAGGCTGAAAAACTACATGTTGAGTACTATGCTCACTGCCTGGGTGATGGAATCATTCATACCCCAAACCTTAGGATCACACAATATATCCATATAACAAACCTGCACATGTGCCCCCTGAATCTAAAACAAACGCTGAAATTATATTAAAAGTAAATAAATAAATTGACGAATAAAAATTTAAAAAAGAAGGAAGTTCTCCAAAGAAAAACTGACAAGCAAGTGGGAGAACAGGCAGAAGAAAGGACACAACAAGCAAGGATATTATGTCAGCTGATATCCCAGCCTCAACCAAATGCTTGGGGGCTCTGGGACATAAATCATCCCTCAGAGTTTGTCCTTCTTCGGGCACAGGAACTGAGCTTTTGTACTCCCTTTACCCATCAGTTATCAGATAAGGGCTGCAGTGAGGAGACAGAAACTTCTAGGCATTTGTGGGAGCAAGACTCTAAAGAGAACAAGGTGCAAACGTCAAAGCACAAAGAACCTAAGAGTAGGTGCATAGAACCATTAATAGTGACCAAAGGAGATCTGCTCGAGACCCTGGCAAAATCATCTATAACTGATGTTGCACTTCTCTAAGCCACCACCAAATGTTATGACATTGGGTGCTTTCACTGTGCTAAGGGATTTCTCTCCCATTTTAGGATTTGATTCTCAACACACCACTGTGTGAAAGCTGAAACATGAAGTGTTACTATCCATGTATGACAAAGAAGGGATATTGGGTCCAGAGAAAAAAAAGATTTGTTTCTGGTGAAACTAAATTAGATTATTGATTTATAAACTGGAGCTAAGGGACAGCCAACTATTTGCTCAATGTTATAGGCACTGAGAAAGGTTAGGGATTTTGATGTTTGTTGTACATCTCAGAAAATGAGTATGATATGAATTTGAGGAATTTGTGGGAGATGAAGAAGATATCCTAAATGAGATGGGCCAGAGGAAGGAAATGAATAAGGTAATCACTGGGATTGCAAAGAGGGCAATGGTGGTGGCAGGGAGGGGGGG